GGGGGCGGGGGAAGGATTGGAAGGGAGCCATCCTCTGGGAGAGTGTGGAGGGCTTTTTTTGACTGTTTTTTCCAAGGAAGAATTTAGTAGTACCTCACTTTTAGGAATCATTGTTTCTTGTGGTTTGGAGCTTTGGAAAACTTGTCTCTTGGTTGTTCATCGGTGTCCATCCGTCACCAAGAAATTTTGGCCTGTGTTTCCGGCCTGGTTCAAGGGTTATATCCTTTCTGAAATAAATATTACTATTTTGGAGCTTTCCTACAGATGTTGTTCTAGAAAATATCAAGTAAAAACTCATGAAGTTTAAGGTGTGGTTCTCTAGAAAAAGAAATTTGAAGATAAAAGGTCTAGAATCATCAAGTCTGTCCTGAACCTGTCCCGGTGGATAGTGTGAGAATGAGAGTAAAGCAGCAGCGATGATGAAAGGGAGCAGATTCCACAGTTCTGTCTCTGGACTCTAGTACATCCTGCCTTCTCTGGAAGCGGCAGGAATGGTTATTACAAGTCTTTCTACCTGGGAAAGGGGGTGAGGTAGGGGCAAGAGAATTACAGATAGATTTGGGATGCTCAGGATGACTGCCACTTCTGCCACCACCATATGCAAACAGTAAAGGAAGGAAACTTGCAACTGGGCAAATAAAAGAGCTGGTGTTCATTAAAATGCTGCAGAAAAGGCAGTGGGAGGGGCAAAGGAGGAAACTGGGAAAGCAAGGAAAGACCCACAAAGCAGGACCTGATAGTATGCCCTTGACCTGAAGGTCCAAGAGCCAGGTTAAATATTCTGCCTAAATGACTTGGATTTTACTAATTTTGCTATATCCTTCCAAATAAGACTCAGGGAATCAGACCACCAAGTGATGGGCCTGCACGGCTACAAAATAAATACTTGTTTTTTCCTCTCTTCCTATCTTGTAGCAGGCAAATGGTGGAAATTAAAGGAGGCAGACACACAGATTTAGGGGATTTTGTGAAGCTGAATGCTTCGGAGTGTAAGCTTTGTGGACTTTGAGAAAAGTGCAAGCATCAGAGCTCTGCAACTCAGCAGAGAACACCTCCAGATAAGAGTGTACCACAGGGTTTTTCAGCAGCCTGACCTGTTTTCATTGTCTTAACGCTGAGGGACAGAAAGGTATTCAGGAGAACCCTGAGCCACCTACTTATGAAGTAGCAGCTGCACTAAGCTTACTGGGCAAGATCCACCCACCTTACTACCCAGCTTGATAACAGAAGGAAAAAAACTGGAACTGGTGACTAGAAAGAAGGAAGTTCATTTATTTCCAACTTAGTCTGCATCTCTTTAGTACCTTGTATTGCTTATTAATCTAAAGGAAAAAAGAGCTTCTTAATCCAAAATTCCAAAAACTTTGAAGTTTTAGGTAACAGTTTTCCTGGTTCATCAATTTATGATAAAGATCTGCATATCATATTAAAATATAACAAAGGGAGATTTGTATCGGGTTCTTAACTCCTACACTTGAAAGTGAACTCTTATGAGAAACTATTTAATCAGTATTTTATTATCCTACATCAGTGGTTTTTACTGTCAAAAATTGCATGAGCTAAATTATCTGGCAAAATTTCTTTTTCTTTCCAGAAATGTCATCTATACTATATCAATTACTTTTAGCATTTTTATTGTGAAATATACTTTAAATGCATAAGGCAATTTATAGCATAATGAGTAATTATAAAGGAAACCACCTCATAACAAATCAACCAGGTCAAGAAATGGAATGTTGCCACCAAGGAATATTGTGAGTCTTCCTTTCATTTCCTGGGTTCATTGGTTGTTTTTTTTTTTTTTCCCCAAAAGCATCCCCCTCCACTCCCAAGCCATGACCTTCCCTCCCTCCTAAATTTAGCCATTTTTCTAACTGTTGTGATAATCATTTCCTTGCTTTTCTTTATTGTTTTATCACAAGCGTGCATCCCTAAACAATATGTTGTTTAGTTTTGCCCTTTCTTTTGAACTTTATGTAAATGGACAATATAATATATAATCTATTTTTGTTTTTCCTCAACATTGTTTGTAATCCATATGTTTTTCAAGTTGTTCTTAAGGTCCTAATTTGTTCATGTTCATTGCTGTATGTAACAGTATTCCATTGTAACAGTATGTGACAATGTATTTAGCCATTCTGTTGTTGATGGACATCCGGGTTTCCAGTTTGAAGCTGTTATAAATGCCTATGTAAACATTTCATATATGTATTCCATCTCATCTAACTCTGTTTCTGTGTGATATATACCTGGGAGTATTATGTGTATCATAAACTTGAATAAACAATGTCAAGCTGTTTTCTAAGGGAATACACACACACACTAGCCATGTATGAATCTACTGCTTCACACCCTCACAACACTTAATATTGTCAGTCCTTTTTAGTTTTGTCAGTCTAGTGGGTATGTAGTGTATATGGTAGTTTTAACTTGCATTTCCGCATTTCCCTGATCACTGATGCTGTTGTTGACCTTTTTTTTAGCCATTTGGATTTCATCTTTTCTGAAGTGTGTTTTTAACTTTTTAATGCCTGATCTCTGAGTTGTCAAACTTTTCAATATCTTTTTGCAGTCCACATTTGAACAATATGTTTCAGGTAAAGTACTGCCACCAAATGAGTTCTTTCCAAATAAGAATAATTACAGTTTACCCAATTTTTTAAAAATTAGAGTATGAACTTTTTTTTTTTTTGAAACAAGGTCTGGCTCTGTTATTCAGGCTGGAGAACGGTGGCATGATCATACCTCATTGCAACCTTGAACTCCTGGGCTCAAGTGATTCTCCCACTTCAGCCTCCTGAGTAACTGGGACTGTAGGCACACTCCACCATGCCTGACTGAGGTGGTTTAGTTTGTTTTTGTAGAAGTGGGAGGGTAGTCTTACTATGTTCTCCAGGCTGGATTCAAACTTCTGGACTTAAGAATCTTCCCACCTTGGCCTCCCAAAGTTCTGGGATTATAGGCATGAGTCTATGCACCCAGTCTATAAACTTTTTAAAAGGAGGGCCATAAAACAAATTTTAAAAATTCTTTACTTTCCATAATAATGCCATCTTTCAACTATTTAGCTATTGCTGTAATCCCTCATCATGGCTTTTTGATCTGTTGTGTTTTAGTTTCCCTCAAGTATATGAAGGCAGTTTTTATTGTCTTAAATCTGTGTAACTAAACTCTGTTGTCTTTGTTGCTGTATATTTTTCTCAAGGCAACTATGTAAAATTGTTTTCCCTACACAGGTTCTTTTCATTTCCCAGGTTCATGATTTTATACAAGTCACAGTGGCTTTTTCTTTCCTCCGAAAGTTCCTGCTAAAATATATGGATTTTATGTAAATTTCATTAACATTAAATGTATGCCATCCATGTCACTACTTGGCTCATTTCTCCAATATGTTGCATTTGAATGTTTTTATTATTTTATTATCTCTCAGTTCTTTGTTTAGAGTCAGTGATATTTTAAAACTGGAGAAAGGTGAAACACAGAGAAATTTACTAATCCAGAGTCAGGAAAGTGATTAAATAGGAAGCCTGAACTCCACCTGAAGACTTCCAATACAGTATGCTTACCATTATATCACACTGACTCCCAGGCTTTGGAACAATAAGGTAAATAATTCCCAAGTCTATAGAATGTTATTCATTTCCACATGGCAAACCTCTTACTCTACAATTGAATAAAGTTTATTTTAAGCCTAACTGCTTTTGAATCAGAATAATATTGATACAAAAATAAGTTTTAAAGATTAATATATTTAATAGTGCTAAAAGGGGACTAAGTGGAAGATAATTTGCCTTTAGCCATTCTGTCACTTGGCTCCATTGCTTCTTGAATGAATCACACCATACTTCTGTAATACTTGAGGAAAAAGTTTTACCAACGAAAACAGTAGCTAGTAGCATCAGGTGTTGCAGGAAAGGCCCTTAGATTTGGTGGTGAGGTTCTTAATACTTTCTTAGTGCTGTTAGAAATGTTGGAGGAGGCCGGGCTCAGTGGCTCAACCTGTAATCCCAGCACTTTGGGAGGCCGAGGCAAGTGGATTGCTTGAGCCTGCGGATATGAGACCAACCTGGGCAACTTGGCGAGACCTCGTCTCTACAATAAGAAATCAAAAAATTAGCCAGACAGGGTAGCACGCACCTGTAGTTCCAGCTACTTGGAAGGATTGCCAGAGCCCAGCAGGTCGCTGCTGGGGTGGCCATGAGTGAACCACTGCGCTCCAGCCTGGGCAACAGAGTGAGACTCCAACTCAAAAAGGAAAAAAAGTTGGAAGCGATCAGAATCCAATGATGTTTTAAAATATAAGAAGAGAGCAACTTAGAGTTTGATGAGATTCCCAAGTTACCTTTCTTATCATCTGGGTTTACACAAAAATTGATTCTAAAAATGAATAATAGATGACCACTGTCTTTTTTCTTTTTTTGCGGTAGAGTCTCACTTTGTTACCCAGACTGGAGTGCGGTGGTACACTCATGGTGCACCACAGCCTCGAACTCCTGGGCTCAAACAATGCCCCCCTCAGCCCTGGAGAATCTGGACTATAGGTGCGCACT